GATGACGGAGGCAGTATGACCTCTGAAACGTTGGTTAACATCGACCAGACTACACAGCGTAACAGCCCAGAAGACAGAAATCTTCATACTCTGATGACGGAGGCAGTATGACCTCTGAAACGTTGGTTAACATCGACCAGACTACACAGCGCAATAACCCAGAAGACGGATATCTTCATACTCACCGCTGTGAGAACCTCAAGTCTTACATGATTAACTTCATTACAATTTTTCCAAGATTAATATTAAATCACTTAATATATACCCCATTAAATATTGTATACATTATATTTGATTAATGTTTTGTTTATGTTAAAATGAGAGAATTATTTTAGGTCACAGAGTTAGGTGGGACAGTCTGCATATAAGTGGACAGTTTTGGATCATAAGTTGATGAATAGGTATGATCTAATGTGGAATAATTTCTTTTCTTTTCAAAACATGTTCCTTTAATGTATGTATGTTAACCTCATGTTTCTGCTGTTCATTATATATATTATGTATATGAATAAGTGATTTCTAACTCAAAAGGAAATCAATTTGAGATATTAACAGTTACATAATCTTTGTTGTTCCTTCGATCATGGGACAATAAAACTTTGTCAAATACCCATTACAAAACAAAGAAAGTGGAAAATGTAGTAATAAAATGGAAACATTTAAGACTATATTCAAACCCTATTACGACTACACTCTCCTGTAAAAAATTACCTATTTTGTAGTAGGTAGGTTTTATAAATCACCCATTACCTATTTTGTAGTAGGTAGGTTTTAGAAAATCACCCGTTCATACACATTGAAATTCATTGCTTCAGAAAGTGGAAATGATGACAGGTTTCAAATTGAATAATAGCAAGAATTCGCAGAATATATTCTATTCTTCTGTTCATTCATGATGCCTACAGCAATGAATATCACGGAACAGCAGAGGTAGAGTAGTAATTTTTGTATAAATCATTATATTTACACAATTTGCAACTACTATGTAACAAAGAAGGTACTTACTGTCAATTTCATATCTGAGCTGGAAACCCTGGGCTTGATACTCAGAATCAGACTTGAAGGAAATCAAAGCCATGTTCTTGATCCGTCTAGGTGGTGGGATGGCGGACCCACAATATTTGCCAATCTCTTCCAGTGAGTCTGACCAGCGGAGCTTCTGGAAAATCTTTACCCAGTCATAGTAGCATCTGTCAGACCCTGTGACACAGTGCAAGGCATTATTAACATCAGAGCATCAACCCCCTTACTGCCTAGCCATTACCTAAAACTACCCTCCAAGACTGCTAGCCTGTGTAGTACTCCAGGTAAATAAATAAATTATTAATAACAAAATATTGTTCAAAATATGAATCTCATAATAGAAAATGTAAATATGTGTAATATTCCTTTCAATTAGAAATGATCTTTTGCAGCAACACCTTGAAGAATGGTTCCATGTGACAGAATAAACTTATCTGTATAATGGTGTTTTATTTCACTTGGGGTTTCTCCCCACTTAATGGTACCTGCACCTTGTCATAGTGGTGGAGCTTGAGTACCTCAGTGACCCCAAGAGCTACTGGTAGGGCCTCCCTAGCCAGATTGGTCGAGGGGGAGAGGTCAGACTAAGACAGGTACCCTGGTCCTCCAGGTTGGGGGTTGGGCGCGAGGCTAACAACCTTGCACCGTAAAAAGGAGGATGTTTCGAAACCTCAATCAACGCCTCGGACAGACGGTAGGACCTAATGGAAGAGGAGAATTGAGGAGGCCATGGACCGAATACGGACCGGAGAGCCATAGAAGAAGAAGATTGGGGTTTCTAATAAAGATACATTGTTTTATCAAAACACATGCAGAGTGTAGCATAAATGTGGGATTTAAATCAGGTCAGCAAAAGCCCGGTACTTTAAAGGTTAAATAATTGTGGTTACACATTATGTCCACAAACTTAACTTCCTACAGCAAAGTGACTAATAGTTAAGTAGACGAGAAACATCTAATGATGTTACGAGAGTTTTATAGAATAAGTGGCTGGAGGAACTGAAGATGGAAACATGGAAATGACTTTAGAAGTACACACCTTCCAAACTGAATGAGATGAACTCCAACTTGATGTATCTGCCTGGAGCCAAGATGGTATAGTTGCACTTAAGATTGGCATCATACTGCATGGGAAAACCAGGGGACACGATGTGTCCACTGCTCTTGTTGGCAATTACAGCACCGCAGTTAATATCAAATGTTGCCTGCATTACAATAACAAAGATTCAAAACATATGTAAGATTTGAGGTTTTCACAGCCGTGAGTATGAAGATTTCTGTCTTCTGGGTCGATGCTAACCAACGTTTCAGGGGTCATACTGCCTCCGTCATCAGGGCGATGACGCAGGCAGTATGACCTCTGAAACGTTGGTTAACATCGACCAGACTATACAGCGCAACAACACAGAAGACAGAAATCTTCATACTCATCGCCCTGATTATGGAGGCAGTATGACCTCTGAAACGTTGGTTAACATCAACCAGATACAGCGCAACAACCCAGAAGACAGAAATCTTCATACTAAGAATCGCCCTGATGATGGAGGCAGTATGACCTCTGAAACGTTGGTTAACATCGACCAGACTACACAGCGCAGCAACCCAGAATACACGAAATATTCAAAACATACATCTACAGAATGTATTTACACAAACAGTTACAACAACAACAAAGAGGCAATTCAATTCAACACATTCACTGTCAGCATCAGAAACTGAAGCCTCTGATACGTTCTGGGTAAAAACTGAGACAAATGGGCATATAAAATACTTTAATCTACCAAATTTATAAAAGTAACTTTATTAAAATCACTTAGGAAGGTGTTCAATACATAAATAATGCAGATGGTGATATTTCTGGGAGTGAGTTTCATAACAAAACAGCATATTCTTGCATGTGTGAATGCACTTTTGGAGAGAATTTTTGTATAAGAACAGATCTGTACGAAATAGTTCAGAAATAGGCCATATACATATGTACAATGATTATATTTCTGAATACTATGCTAAAAGTGTTTTTAATTACAAATATAGCTGGTGATATGTATTGTTTCTTATGAAGTTTTACTTTCTTGTTAAGAAATGCTGAAAATTTTCAATCAGAATTCAGAAAGCAACTGTGTATGAAATAAATGAAAAAGATAATTTTATAATCCATTTACTATTGAAATGTCTAACCAATGTGGTCTGAGAAATATACTTTGACGAAATTAAAGCAAAGTATTGTGTGAGTATGACCACAGACAAATCTGAGTAAGTGATACAAAGGCTCTTAAATGGTAAATATAACATTTGAATTGCATGTCTCATGCTGGCAGAAATGTACATGCACTGCAATGCACAACATTCAACAAAATATGCATATACCCAAATGCGTAATAACGCATGCACAACATTATATCTGCATTCTCAATTGAGAGAATTTCAACTGAATTGAAGCATTTGAGCAAAAAATATAAAGAACCCAGACTTTTAAGAACTGTTATTACTACTGACAAAGTTCCTGTAGATTATCAGGATACTTATTAATAAAATATTTGAGACACAAGTTTTGAAAAATAAATAATACGAGGTGCGATCGGAAAGTTTCAAGACTGTGTCAATAGAGGGCGAACCGGATGTAGTACGAGCTTCTGCCGCTAGGGGGTGCGGCCTACATTCATAGTGAATCAGTGGCCCAGCCGGCATCATCGAATTAGCATTTGTTTCTTAGTTACGGGCGTTTTGGTAGTGCATTACACCGACCCTCCTGCGATTTCGGAATGGCGTGTGCATCAAATGTTGCCAAAG